ACTCGAACCAACCAGAGAGGACCGTTTCCTGATAGGCCGAGGATCGTCCCCGGATCCCGCAAGCCTGTGCAGAGGCACATACACAGCATCTGGCTTGATGACTGTTAGCAGTTTGTTTCTGCAGAGCCTTTTTTCAGCTCATTTCCCGCCGTACACTGTCCAACCTAATTGGTATTCTGACCACTCACTTGGAGGAACCTTCTGTAGTCGATGATCGCTTCTTTTGACAGGCGTTCCACCCAGCGAGGGTGGGCCATACTCTACTCTGATCAGAATTTTTATTTAGAGCAACATTCGGGCGATCGATTGTAGGGGCAAATTATACGATATACTGCTTCGCACATAGACTGATTTATATAAGGATTTTAAGGCCACAACACAAACCTCTGCGACTAAACGCTTCGCCATGGTGTCTGGCCATCTAAGCTCCCTTGACCATTTTAGGCTAGCTACCACATCTGATCAGCAGAATGCCGTAACAACAAGACTGGTTGAACGAGTTTTAAAAAACAGCAAATTAGGCCGTGTGCAATAAAAAGAGTAGTTCCGTAGGGGATATTCACCGGCTGTTTTAACTTACATTATGTCTTGATGTCGATAATCGGATGATCCGTGAACAAAAGTGTGCAAGATAGTTGAGACTTGGATTCAGACCGGGAATGTTTAAGGAAATACATTAAAAAAGCTTCCTATGGACGCCAGATGGACGCCATCTTCCACCTTTGCCAGATGGTCTTTCGATAAGAAGATTAGCAGAAAATTTTTGTGATCATGAGTGATGTGGATGAGAACATAATAGATCGCGATTAGTTTGACATCTTCAACGTAACGCGAATTCTTCCCCTGCTCTAAGAGCCAATGTGAATTGACAGTTGGTGGAATTTTTAAGGCACTTTTGAGTTAAAAATACTTTCTGTAGATGGACAGAGTTTAAGTGAGCGTCCAGTGGACTAGGCGGGTTAGCAAAATAGTGAAAGTAATAATTGGAAGCGATCTGCGGACCAATGCATCATCATAGTTGCAAAGAACACCCAAGCTACTGTGTCTCACGTTGTAAAATGGACCTCGCAAGTCTAGGCAAGCCGATGTGGTTAACTTGATATCGAATTGGATTCAGCAAGCGGAGGAACTGCAGTTTTTAAAGACTGGGTTTTGATAGAAGAGCGCGAACATTCCCACCAGACGGTTTTGGCTTACGGATGGCCTGATTGACTTTGGAGACATGGATTAGGGCAATTAAAAAATATTTTCCCCGGTACAGACTTTAAGCAAGTAACTAATGGAGCATTTATTGGCCCCATAAAATTGCCCAACTGCTTACCAGCCTCAACCTGCCACTGCCTAACACCAATAACGAATGAGGGAATACACCAAGTTAAAATATTACAGATATAACCATTCTAAAACAATAAGGTCATGGTACATTTCCCCGTAGGCTAATCAAGAGAAGTTGTAAAGTAAACTATCCTATGAAACAACTGATGAACAGTTTCGCAATGTTTGGATCCAATAAATTCTGTATTTCTGTATTATTATCAACTTTATGGACTTTACGAGTCCTCCTTCTTATAAGAGAATATTATTCCACAGATTCAAAATACAGAGGATTTTAGTGTCTTAATTATGCTTTTATATCCCAGGGTCTAAGCAGATTCATGTCATTTTACAGCTTATGCCCTCTTTAGGTCATTCATTCAAATGGGCGTATCGCCCGTAGCCATTGATTTGTGGAGTAGATTACGGATATTCAATCCTATTTTAAATTTCACGTTGTGTCTTCAGCTAAGAGGTTCGTTTAGGTGTGGTCCGATCGGTATTTCTCCAGAAATGGTAATGGGAATACTGACTCGTTAGCTATGGATTTTTGTTGGTTTCCGCCTTGCTGATAGCTGCGCGTGATGATAGTGTTATAATTCCTCTATATTTTCTTCCCACCCTCAGAGGTTGTTGAATTGACAGATCAGGTGATTCAAAAAATGGTGGTCACGTGATGTTCAGACACCCACTGGGAGTTTACCCTGAGTCAGCGATTGACTCCACAGAGCGGGTGTTCGAAAGAGGCCCACGATAACTGAAGATCCTAATGAAATTCTTCACTTCACCTCGAGCTGAGTAACATCTGACTGGTTGTGTTTTAAAGCCCGGCCACGCTTTTGTATCTTCTTTATCCTGTACTGTGTGCCTCTGAATAAGATGCAAGAGAAATGCCATCTTATCCTTCAGGTGCCTTCTGGAAAGTTTCCTAATTTCTTGGAATTGAGGCTACATTCTTATATATCTTCATATAAAATACTTCGGTTTGGTCGGTATGTCGTCGGAAGAACGTCCTGGCGGTAAGGTGGCCCTGTAGTCCCTTAAAATGTTTGAGCATTTTGATTCTTGAAGACTTTAAATGCATTCAAGAGTATTTAAATTTATTTTGTTCTGATTCATCTGCTTATAGCCAAGTTTAGAATTTGCTCTGTATATTTAGGACATGCCTCCCTTGGTGTCATCTCAGTGTAATGGAGTTGCTGGTCTGGTGATGCTGACTGTGGCTCTTGGCATTTCAAATCGTCTAATAAGCAAGTCACTATCAGTGATCGCGTCTTTTCGACAAATGCTCAAAAATAACTGTTTTACAAAGCATTTCTATTTATTTTCAAAAATTAGAATTAGTTGCGGAAGATAAAGCTAACAGAGATTTCAAAATACTAAATTCACGGGGATTAGGAACTTACCAATTGGATTGTTGACAAAGATAAATAGTTGGCTGTGATCAAGTTCAAAACAACGTTATATAAAAACGCACATTTTGATCACTACTGACGCAGTTAATTCAACTGACATGTAAAATATTTCTTACCGAAGTAGATGTGTTGGCTTTCGATATGAGTTGTGCAAGATATCTGCGGTTATTTGCCTCTTTTCCATAACAGAGGAAGCTGTAGCTATATAAATTATAGCTCTGGCCAAACATGTTGATTGGCATTGTATGTTGTGCTGGACCGGTTCCCGCAGGCACGAAAGCGATTTGAGTACTGGCACCCCCGAGATCAAGCATACCAACCATTTCGTTTGCCGGCTTCGGAGGCATACCCTCGGGCTAAATAGTCATATTTTGCATTAGGCTCGAATTTAACGTACTTCACATCATCTATTCTGCAGTAATTTCAAATTGAGTAATATAATTTTGGAAAATATAGCAAAACCGACTGACACGACTATGTTTTAGCGGACTGATAGCAATAAAGCAGTACGTTTGATATCTATAATAAACAATGATAATTTTGAAATAATTTGGTTGTGGCTTGTACTGTTGCAGCATTGGCA